ACAACGGAGGTATTTAGGTACGACGTTTTATAACTTTTTGTTCGTGCGTCACTCCTTTCCGTTATCAATGTATTATGTACCGATTCTCGCCGGATAAAACCGCGAATATAGGCGCGATAAAAATATACCTGCCGCTGGATCGTTACGGCATCTTGACTTGACACTTCCGTTGTCCGACTCGGCTACGTTTCGATGCCATTGTGACACTCCGCGAGATCTATCTCGGCGCTTCCGGTATTGATACGCGTGATTCGCTTTTGCGAGAAGAAAGGACGGGGAGCAGTCGTTTTCGTGTAGTGACAACGACGGCAACTTTGTGGTTTGAATTTACAGCGTAATTGACGATCTGATGTTCCGAATTTTTTTTACTACTATTTCAATGCACAGAGAGAGAGAGAGAGAGAGAGAGAGAGAGAGAGAGAGAGAGGGGATGGGGAGAGACAGAGAGTTAAGAGTAAGGGCCTGAGCAGAATGGCTGTCTTGTACTCTTAAGACATTAGACAGTTATTGTGCGTTACCTCAAGACAATGGCTTAAAACATAAAACATTGTCTTAAGGCTGTCTTAAGAGTATAAGACAGCCATTCTGCTCAGGCCCTAACTCGATACATTAATATGCACTGAATTTGGCACTCCCGCATATATCTGTGCGCGCGACTTGTCTCCCACAGGTTGCGAGATCAACGTAAAAAAAGGAAAGTAACGAGACACTCGATACGATATTTCCGACGTATGTCCGGCGCGGCGTCTCTCACATTTAAACGCGTAAGAAATACGAAAACCTCGGCTAAACGATGTGATGATAACCGCGACTCGGATGCTGTACGTTCGATACCGCGTCAAGGTAAAGTTCAACGTATCGTTGTGTCCGGCGCGTTAAATGATACGTCAGAGGAGCCTTTTACAACAACCGCGACACGTAATACGCGTAATGACACACGAAATTCAATATTCTTTCGGATATTAATTCGCGCGGTATCGCCGATCACCGCGCAACGTAATCCGCGAAGAGCAGCGAGAGAAATATATACTTGCCACCGGATCGTTTCGGGATAATCACCGTCGATTTGATTCGTCTGATAACTCTATCAGATTGGCGCTTCGACACTGTATAATTCGACGCCGCGACGGCGATACTTAAAATACAATCGACACCCCCGATATATCTTCGCGCGACCCATCTCCATGCGAGAAGAGAGAAAAACAAAACGAGGCGAGACGTTTGTTTTTCACGGCAATGGCAACTTTGCTGCGCGGCGTGAATGTGAAACGAGAGCACTCGAGCGGACATTTCGAGTGTCCGATCGCCGATATTGATGCACGCCGCATCGGAATTGTCATTCATTAACTCGATAGGATAACGCTTGTCCGCCGCTCGATTTGGCATTTCCAATAACAGGCACGTGTCACCCGATTCGTACAAATTCCCCGCCCGTAAGATAACAATCCGCGGAAAGCTTCGTAGGATCGTTTTGCGTTCGCGTGGCGGCCAGCGACGTAAAGTAAACCGTGCATCGAAATATTATTTAATATTTGGACTCGCTTCTGCGCGAGGTGGGACTGGACGTGGCCGAGACTCTTTATGAGTAGAGACCCTGTCATCAGAGACTGGCCATAAGAGTTCGTCAAATTCCTGCGAGTGAGAGAGAAACATAGGCTATCTCACTCTTCTACGATCGTAGATTCTACGATCACGGAAATTTAACGAACTCTTATGGCCAGTTTCTGATCATAGGGTCTTTATTTACGAGAACAATAACGCGATTGGGATATAATGTGAATCATAGCATTGCGTATTGCGCGCGAATCGCACCATTTTTCCGCGCGAATTGCAACGCATCACCGGTACATTTGCGTTCATTCCGCGGCCAATATTGGCTTTACATTGCGAAATATCGGCACTTCCAACGTAACCAATGTTTAGCCGATGTGAAGTCGACGTACTGTGCTAATAGAGAAGCGACGGCGATAAACCGAATAGCGATATGGCGACGGCGGCGCTCGAGATTCTTACCTAGAGAGAAAGAGGATCGACACAGAGTTCCGACTTCTGACTACCAACTAACGACTCATTGTAGACCGGGCCTTGACAATGCGGGGAATCAGTTTATTTTAGGCCACAGTTTCTTTTATAAGAGGCAAACGTTGCGTGCAGAATTTTACGTTAACCTTAGAGAGCTCCGAAATTTTCATTATTGCGTTACGATTTGATGTAAAACTACACCCACAGAAAGGATTTCTGTCACCGAGACAAAAATATTCTTGACGCATTTATACTTCTCACAACCTCATTTAGCTTAAAAATAAGACAATATCAAAATAAAATCAATAATTCGTATTCTCCTCTAGCGAATTTAAAAAGAGTAACTTATATAAATGTAAGTTTATATATTCCTGCGTTTACAATAAATTTTCCCTCCATCTTACAACGCACCAAGTTGGCACCACGATATTCGACAAAAGACGATACGTACTATCATTTTATTCTAGATTTTAGAATTTTTCATTTAAGATTAAAATATTCCTTTCTCGGTAATAAATATAATAAATCGATTGTATTTTAAGATGCATTCAATTTTTTCTGTGGGTGAAGATACAAGGTGAAACATTGCGCATGTAACCAATTTTTGGGGCAAATTGTTCATTGATTCTTCCCTTCATTCAACCGCAATGATTTGCGGTTTGATGGTTGGGGCAAATTTCTGATTGGTCAATTCGGTAGTTTGGGCCACTTCTGATTGGTTGACACTGCGCATCTACCAGACTGCTGCACCTTGTATCTTTACACCATGCTGTGCACGGCGCCGTAAACACCTCGGCCGAAAACCGAACGCGGATTCCAAGAAATGACTTAGCGCCCTGAACACCTCGGTCGAAAACAATCTATTGTACCGAATCGTTCGGCGCGGCACAGTCGCTCCTCGTAACGCGATCGGTTCCTACGAGAATCTCGATCATCTCCGTTTTTTTTTCCGCGATCCCTGAAGAGGCGCATTGAAACGCGCGTCGAACATTACGTGATAAAATCGCGAGGTATCGCCGCCGTTGCCAAATCGCAATAATATAAACGATCGCTATAATTAATGCCCAGTATCGACTCGGGATAAGAGTTTAAAAGGATTTTCCATAAAAACGCGCCTTTTCGTTCGCCAGCAAATGGAGCGGTGAAAAAATTTATACGCGTCACGTCTAAACAATTTATGTGTCGCGTTACATTTAGCGATTCAATTATGTACGGCCTAGTGATTTGATCATGCACGAAATGTGTGTTAGCAGACGCATAACGGGCGTGTAATTATTAATGAAATCAATTAATACAGCGTGTGACGACGGGACGCATTAATAATGGCAAAGTTTCCTTATCACGCGGGATCGGATATTTCAACGGTCAGCCGGCAATCTGACGCTCCTAACGCTCGTACGTGTTACATATTGTCGCTAATTAACACTCTGTCCGCGATCGCGCGATTTTTTTCCCGAGCGATCTTATCCGTCGCGACCGAAAATACGATTCCCCTCTTTCTCTCTCGGTGTGAAATTTTTCGGCCTCGGTACAACAACGACGGCTAGCTCGTCGCTGTTAAATTTAACCCAAGTCGCCACTGCATCCACGGAAACATTTTCCGGATCCAATGCTATTACACTTCAATGTATTGTAAAATAGAATCGATATAGCGCCAATTATATTTATTATAGAGAATGGAATATTTTAATCTTGAATGAAAAATTCTAGAATAGTGTGTATCGTCTTTTGTCTGATATCGTGGCGACAACTTTGTATGTTGCAAGATGGTGGGAAAATTTATTCTAAACGCAAGAATATATTAAGTTACTCTTCTCAATACTGTCAATCTTTTTTAATTCGACAGAGGAGAATAAGAATTATTGAATTTATTTTGATATTGTCTTATTTTTACATTATACTAAGTGAGGTTGTGAGAAATGTAAACGCGTCAAGAATATTTTTGTCTTGGTAATAGAAATCCTTTCTGAGGGTGCGCTTCCACTCAATATGTCGTTAATTTAATTAAACGATAGTATTAAAAGAAACCATGAAATGGACTGAGTAAAAGATGCACTGAGAAAATATCATGGCTTATCTAATCGGATAATCAATTGCATATTAACAAACAGATATATTCAATTAAATTTAACGGATATGTTCAACTAAATTGTATATCCGATGACAAATATAATCGGTTTTTCGATAAAATTTCACCGGTAGCTGCAATTTCATCGAATATATCCATAATTTAATCGGAAATCTTAATCAGAAAAACCGTTGGTTAATTTTCTATTGGAAAAACACTACTTACGCCTGTTAAAATTGATTATTTTAACACAAATTACAGTTAAAAATAATAACATCTATATATTGAGTAGGAGCAGCGGCGACTACTTATAGTAAATTTAACATTACTTTAACAAAATTAACAACGACGGTAGCTCGTCGCTGTTAAATCTGTAGCGTTAAATTTAACCCAACAGTCGCCTTCCACTGCTTCCACTCCATATATCGTTAATTTAATTAAACGATGATGTTAAAAGAAATTATGAAATGGACTGAATAAAAGATGCACCGAGAAAAATATCTTGGCCTATCTAATCGGATAATCAATTACATATTAACAAACGGATATATTCAATTAAATTGTACATCCGATGACAAAATTGGTTTTTCGATTAAATTTCACCGGTAACTGCAACTTCATTGAATAGATTTCATCGAATATATCCGCAATTTAATCGGAAAAGTTGATCAGAAACACCGATGGTTAATTGTCTATCGGAAACAACACTTAGGCCCGTTCAAATTGATTATTTTAACACAAGATACAGTTAAAAATAATATCACATATTGAGTAGGAGCAGCGGCGACTACTCGTCGAGTTAGATTTAACATTACAAAGGGCTAGTTTCACAAACGTTGGTTAACTGCTAACCAAAGGTTAAGTGATTCTCTGTCTCTTAGATAATAAGACAAAAAAAGATAGAGAGTTGCCTGAACCCTGGTGAACAGTTAACCGACGTTTGTGAAACTGGCCCAAAGAGTGAGAACAAGCTCGGCCCCATTTCTTTCCGCATTCGATTTTAATGACAGAGTAGGTACCAAACGAAAGGTCTCGTCGTCAAGATGATCGCAGACATCGGGCTCCAAAAATTCCCAGGACGTATGCGACGAAGCCGTTCTGGACAGACACCAACCATTTGTCTGGAATGGAATGGAACCTTTCGAGTCCGATATCTCTGGGGCAAAAATATCAATTAATGTGTGTGTAAATCGAGGCATCGAAACGTCGTTTGTCTTTTAAATAAAAACATTGGCCGGTGTAGGTCGTTTTCGAAAAACCACATATTTCGGTTTTATATTACCGGCGATATTAAATCTATTTGCGAGTTACGCAATTAGTTAAAAATAATAATATCACATATTGAGTAGGAGCAGCGGCGACTACTCGTCGAGTTAGATTTAACATTACAAAGGGCTAGTTTCACAAACGTTGGTTAACTGCTAACCAAAGGTTAAGTGATTCTCTGTCTCTTAGATAATAAGACAAAAAAAGATAGAGAATTGACTGAACCCTGGTGAACAGTTAACCGACGTTTGTGAAACTGGCCCAAAGAGCGAGAACAAGCTCGGCCCCATTTCTTTCCGCATTCGATTTTAATGACAGAGTAGGTACCAAACGAAAGGTCTCGTCGTCAAGATGATCGCAGACATCGGGCTCCAAAAATTCCCAGGACGTATGCGACGAAGCCGTTCTGGACAGACACCAACCATTTGTCCGGAATGGAATGGAACCTTTCGAGTCCGATATCTCTGGGGCAAAAATATCAATTAATGTGTGTGTAAATCGAGGCACCGAAACGTCGTTTGTTATTCAAATAAAAACATTGGCCAGTGTAGGTCGTTTTCGAAAAACCACATATCATTTCGGTTTTATATTACCGGCGATATTAAATCTATTTGCGAGTTACGCAATTAGTTAAAAATAATAATATCACATATTGAGTAGGAGCAGCGGCGACTACTCGTCGAGTTAGATTTAACATTACAAAGGGCTAGTTTCACAAACGTTGGTTAACTGCTAACCAAAGGTTAAGTGATTCTCTGTCTCTTAGATAATAAGACAAAAAAAGATAGAGAATTGACTGAACCCTGGTGAACAGTTAACCGACGTTTGTTAAACTGGCCCAAAGAGCGAGAACAAGCTCGGCCCCATTTCTTTCCGCATTCGATTTTAATGACAGAGTAGGTACCAAACGAAAGGTCTCGTCGTCAAGATGATCGCAGACATCGGGCTCCAAAAATTCCCAGGACGTATGCGACGAGGCCGTTCTGGACAGACACCAACCATTTGTCTGGAATGGAATGGAATCTTTCGAGTCCGATATCTCTGGGGCAAAAATATCAATTAATGTGTGTGTAAATCGAGGCACCGAAACGTCGTTTGTTTTTCAAATAAAAACATTGGCCAGTGTAGGTCGTTTTCGAAAAACCACATATCATTTCGGTTTTATATTACCGGCGATATTAAATCTATTTGCGGGTTACGCAATTATAGTTTCAAATACTACATATTTTTTCCATCAGCGCGCTTGTCCTCGCTTTTTAGCAGCGTCAATACGCGATACGAGTTTTCGACTCGCTCGGGGTAAATGACGGCAATGACTCGGCGCGCGGGGGCGATTTCGCGTCGCGGATCTAACCCCGTGAGAACAGGCGAGCAATTAATATCCGAAAGAATATCATCGAATTACGTGAATATCGTTACGCGCGTCGCGAAATGTCCTCACGACGCAGCACGGGCGCCGAGCGCAATCGCGCGAGGGATTAATCTTGTCGCGCTCGCAAGTACAAATGTACAATCCGGACCTCAATTATCGTCGCGTCGTCCCAGCATTCAACACGTAATCCGTAGGTATTTCCGCGGTTTTCTTACACACCTCGTAAGCGAATGCAGACGGGTCGCGCCGTATCTCGAGCCGTACCTTCGCCATCCCCCTTGCTGGTCTTGTTCGCCCGGGGACGGAGTCGCACGCGCGAGCTCGCCGTGGCTGCCGAACGTGCAATGTAACGACGCGGCGCAGTAATATCGTCGGCGGCCGCGCGACGCGCCGCGCGGCGCTGCTGCGCGGGGGCGAAGTAGTCCGCGACGTTGGCCGCGATCTTAAATCTCGGGGTAAACGATAATGCGCGTCTCTTAATATCGAAAGTGCCGAACGGAGCGTCGGGCGGGCACTACCGATGCGATCCCAGTGCAAAAACGCGATTGATACGCGAGCGAAAACGAGATCGCACGTTGGATCGTGCGTGCGGAGATTCGAATCGCGCCAAGTTGCCGCCGCGCCGTCCACTCGTTGCGACGTTCACTTGTCGCGCCGCGCCGTTGCGTCTCCTACGCGAACACGTCTCTCTCTCTCGCTTTCTCTTCGCGCGAAGGCGCTCGCCGTTTTCGCTGCGTTAACGTCGGAAGCAACGTCGAGGGACGCAATCCGGTGGACGTGGACGCGAAGCGATGGATCCGAGGGTGGCCCGCCAGGAACGATCCGAGCATCCGCGGCGATCGAGCGCGCCATTATCGTCCCGCCTCCTCGGAAGCTCGTCGCACATCGCGGGAATCAGCGGCGCGGATTGATCGACGCGGGGAAGGTACCGAATCGTGGGCGTTATTACGCTGCGTATTATCGTGTCTGTGTCACGAGGACGCCGCGTGTGTATCGGCGTAATAAATCCAACGGTCGGACGCGGCGCGCGACGCGCCGGGCGTTTAACCTTCACCTTGACGCGCTCGGTCGCTGTCGCGCGACACGATTCTTGCGCGCCTCACTCGTCGCCGGGTCGTCGTAGCGTTCGCACGGGGGGCGGACGCCGCGGTGGTTGTTTTTCGTGCTTCTTAGCGCGACCGGGGGAAAGTGAATTCCGATACCGGTAGCCGAGTAGCGCGTGTCGATTCGCGAAGTAAGTGCGGAATCGGGTGTCGCGCGCACCACTTTCGGAATACGTCGCGGTGTGTTCGATCCTATTGACCGCCCGTGATTTCGGCTAATTGATCGCGAGTGTGTTGCTCCAGTGTTCCCGAGGATTTGCCCGGTTTCCAGGGTCGACACGTCGCGTGGATCGCCGAGAGAACTTTCCATCGTTCGCGCGCTAAGGTCAGTCTTACGTTAATTGAGATACTATTAGTATAGTAACTGAAGGAAGTATAGTTACTGAAGAAAGATGTGTATTAGTTCCGCGACATGAACGCCAAGAGAATCGTTTCTTACACGTAGCCTCGTGAACATGTCTAATCCGTCGTGTCGACCGTATTTCGGTGCCGGCACGCGTCAATCAATTGTGTCACTCCGGTGCTTCCAAGGATTCCTATTTTTCGAAGTCGATACGTCGCGTGGATCATCGGGAGATATTTCCCATCGTCCGCGCTAAGGTTAGCCTCACGATAATTAAGACGCTGTTAATTATAGTAACCGAAGAACAAAATGTATTAGCTCCAAGAGAATCATTTAGTGCACGTAATCTCGTGAACATGTCTAAATTAATCCGTCGTGTCGACCGTATTTCGGTATCGGCACGCGTGAATTGATCTCGTTGTGTCGCTCCGGTGCTTCCAAAGATTCCTATTTTTCGATACGTCGCGTGGATAATCGTGAGATATTTCCCATTGTCCCAGCTAAGATTAGCCTTACGTAATTAACACACTGTTAATTATAGCAACCGAAGGAAAAAATGTATTAGTTGAAAGATACGAACGCTAACAGAGAATTATTTATCTTGTTTAATGAATATTTCTGGAGCGAATCCCTGGAGTCGGCGTGTTTCACGCCAGAAGTTTGAAAGATCGCTCCAGCTTTCGCGTATATTTGCACGCGTATACAACCCGCCGCACGTTTCATCGCAGCGGCTGAATGACTAAGCCGATTATAACAATCGATTTGTCAGAAAAAAAATCACGCGCGCGCGCCCTAGTTATATCGCGGACAATTGCGAATCGTCATCGCTTCTGTATTCATGGTTTTTCGGCCGACCCGATTTGCGAGAGCATCTGAAGTGCCGGAAGTTCAGTCACGCTTAAAATATGGACGCACGCGTCATCTAAGACGAAACGGGAAACGAATTGTCGCGCGTATCTTCAAATATCACGGGGGAGGGGGAGAGGGGGCGCCTTAAATAGCTCCTTGTTAAACCTATGAAAGATTGATTCGCCGAGTGTTCTACAAATCGTGACTTCAACGCGACAAATCCGCGGGCTCTCCGTCTTGAATTCGGATCTCACTTTTCCGCGGTGGCAGCCGAAAAGTGACGCGCGATTAATTGTTCAACCGTGCGCTGAACTTTGTGCGATTCTCGGGGAAAATCGTTGGCGCCCTGACGTTTTTGCCGGGAGAAAATTCGCGCGGAACAAATAATTCCGGTATACGCCATGTATATTAAACGACAGTAATAATAACACATGCAAATGCAACAGGAATCCCGCGCGGTCCGCTGTGGGAATTCCTCGCCGCAAGAGGGTACGGTTTGCGGGGGTGGTTTCCGCTTGTTTAAGCTTGCCGGATTAATTTGGCCGTTGTCGATGGACCGAGTCCTCCTCTCTCTCTCTCTCTCTCTCTCCTTCTCTCTACCCTCCAATCCACCCCCTTTTTTTCGCTCGCCCGCGAAGATGCGCGCCGGGATTCACGGCCTTGATTTATGCCGAAATCGACGCCGTTTATTATCAGGATCTCCCCTGCCCCCCCGCCCCTCCCGCTCGCCGACTGCCCAAACTGTTCTCGGGGCTGCTGAATGTGTGCATGCGTGAAATTGGAAACGCAGACAAGCGTCCATGCAAATTTAACCCGTCCGTCTGTCCGCCATTCGACTCCCCGGACCGACAAAGAAGGAAGTACGTGTCTGCCACTCTCGCCCCCCTCTTCGTTCTTGCCAACCCTTGTCCTATCCGGTAGCTTATGTTCCGTCAACGGGTTCTCGGGGGACGGAGGAGAGGACCGGCCCCGTGGAGAAAGACCAGTGTGCGAGATATTTTGGGAAATGTTGGGTATACTTAAGCAAATGAAGACGGGGCGAGAGAGACCCGCCGCGTGCGCGGATTAAAACGTGCGTGAGATATTTATCGAAATAAACGGGCCGAACGCATGAATTGTTAAACATTTTATTTTATATATTTTACATTTATTAATATTTACTTTTCGTAGAGATATTCATTTTATAAATATCTATAAAATAAATATGTATCGCGATAAAATCGAATGAACACATTACTGAATTTTATTTTGTTTGTTTTATGCGCATTGATATTTATTTTATTGTACGTTTTTACCACTCATTTTAATAAGATATCCCGAAGCTGCTGGATATATTTGCAAGTCGCTTTTTTTTCGCGAACTTAAAGATTCTCCGCAGGTGAAAGTATCGAGAACGAGCTAGAGAGATGAACATTATTTCTTTTTACTTTTAATCGTCCTTGTAATCAAGTTTCTACAGTATTTCTCTAACATCATATTCACTCGAGATCTCCCTACATTTTTATTACAGAAAAATTGATTTCAAATACGTATAAAAGAATTTGTAACAAAAGATACCCTGTGCTTTCGGAATAGTCTGTATTTGTTTCCAATTTTCTCTCTCCTTGCATCATGCACAGCCGAATATTAATGCATCGTCCGTCGCGTGAGTCATGTGGGAATCACCTAAAGTGCAATATCCTACAGAACAGAACAGCGTTGTATAACTGCCCATTGTCAATCGGTAAATGCGGGCAAGTCATGTAATAGACGCAAATCTTGTTCTCAATAACAGAACCTCAATTAATTTCAGCGGTGTAATCGTGTAGTTTCAGATCGCTCCCGTAAGTTCACTCGCAGCCGCGGGAATTTAAAGTTACAGTTCACGTTTAATAAATTAATGTTACAGTCAATTCATAAGCTGTAATTTCGCGTCACCCTTGAAACTTTTATTATCGCTTATCGATTATTCGTTAAATAATTAAAAATTCTTCATGCAAAGTTACCTTTTCGAGGCTGAGCAAGATATAATTTCCGCGACGCACGAGCATCTGCATATTGACATCGAGGAAGTTGACGTAAATTTTTTTTCAACTTTGTCGTCGCAATACATAAAATCTCTAATTAATACTCGTCGAGTCTCGATAGTTTTTCAGTATTATTGGAAACTGCATAAATAAATAATTATTTTTAATGATTTTCAAACGAATATCCGCTCGATTATCGGAAAATATTACACTGTGGCAGTTACCCTTGTTGATCCTAAATAATCTCATTGTGTAAAGCCGCATTAAATTATTATTCCGGGTTAGTGTTTTGAGCAAACACGGCAATTTGGTTGTAGTTCGGGTAATTTTGAAATAATTTTTGAACATGACCAAACAGTGGCCAATTTTAATTATTATTACCTTTATTGCTGGAAAATTGTAATATTATCACAATTATCGCGATGGACCCGAAATAAATAATCTTATTAAAATAAAGCTATGTGGATTATTATTCCAGATGAGTGCTTTTAGTAAACAGGGCAGTTTGGTTTGCTTGGTACGTACATAGTGTGCTCTCTAGATTCAATTAAGTTGTGATTAATCCACCAACAAAAGCGACGCGGGCTGTATCCACTTTAATCCTTTTACACTTCGATCTTTATAACTAGTTTTGCTATCGTTACGAGCAACAGTAGCATATCAAGAAAGTTGTTTCTTCTCTTATATCTTCTCTTATCTCATTATTTGCACCGCGTTATACATTTAGTATCGATTCGAAGGATGAACACTCAGCTCCCGTGCATTAATTTCGCCATATACATACAATTATATTAATTACTTTGCTGTTATTATTATCGTTATATTGTTCACACGGGTATTAGTTTTCTTATTCAATAGAATCGATTAAGATAATTGCGTTAGACTGCAGTAAAAATGATAGCGTCTATATTTTCCAATAATAAAAGGCATATATTTATTGAGTTTTCAAATGCACAAAATGTCTTTGTCAGGCACGATTAATGCGAGATAAAAGACTTGGATTGTTTTGTTAATAACTGAGGTAATGAAGTAATTACGAAATTGTGAAATTGTGCTCGTTCGTTACACGAAATTTTTCACCCCTTAATTTCTCAACGATTTTAAAATTGCG